TATCAAGTGCATGTAAGTTTTGTTGAACAGCTGGTGTATACTAAAATAAATATTTAGGTATATCCTATGCATCAATTTTGATGAGAGAAGTCCATAATAGGCTAATTTCTTTTAAGTTAAGACTCTGTATATTATATAGAATCTAATGAGCAAAGACTGCCCAGAAAAAAAGTTTGGATATTTAGTTTATTGGTGCGGAGATACGACATTTTTTATTATATTTTTCACCTCAATACTATTGTGTTACTTTGAAACACTAGAATTTTCAAATTTTGACTCGAAACTTTGCATAATAATTGTGTCCATCGAGAATAGTTTATAGTGGAAGTTTCAGGCTGTTTTATTTGTTCCTATCGTAAGTGAAAATTTGAAAATCAGTTTTCCCTTTGTTCCTGAATGAGACCATTCTATTCCTCTAATTATACCATTAGAATACAGAGTCTTCGCAGTACTAAGCTAATGAGCAGACATCTTTTCAGGGCATTGAAACTTCATTCGGATCTGCAAAATGTACACAATGTTGATCCAAAAGGAATCTATTCGATAGGAGGTAGAATCAGCACTCTAACAAAATGCTTCACTCAAGCAGTAATATCTTCTTCTGAGAAATTTGCTATTTGGTTTTATTTATATAGAAATTATAAATCGTGTCTCAATCGATTCAGGTTTATTTTCTCTTCAGAAGAATGGAACTAAATTAACATGGCATGTGGTTGTTCTTATAATAATCCAGGTTTAATTGATGAATTAAAGTTTATACAAACATTATTAGTGAATGCATATGTTAGCTTTATAATTCTAGTATTAGCCAACCCTATTTTGGCTGCTAACATTTTACTAGTTTTGAGAATGATATGCATAAGGAGGTTTACAACTTGATTTCGAACGCTTAACCACTAACTGAATCCTTTCTAATTATGAAGGGGTTGAAACATATTTGAAACAATTGCATTTAATATTTTATAATCATTATTGTGAAAAACTTTTGTTTCTGTAACTCTTTAATTGTTTTACAAAATCTAATTTTACATAGAAAAACTCATCTGTTAAAGCTCGTATTGTATCTTTTGTTTGACGACTGAGTTTAACAATTTCTTTCATATCAATTAAATTATTTGAAGAGACTTTGTTTCCTTTGAATTATTTGTCGTCATATGAAAATTATTAATTAGCACTCTAATTTCATTACATTTTATTGTTACTATAAATGATTTGATTATATTTTTGCACAACATATGCGTACAATTCAAAAATGTAATCAGAAAAAAATTGTGAAAATTTTTCAGTGCTTGCTAATACCAAGAGTAATTGTACATGAAATCTATTGGTCTTCAATTCAAAAGTCCTATTTGTTTATCAAGCAGGTAAGTTTTTTGGAAGCTTGAGTAAAATAATACAAATAGATATATAATCATTTACACATAAAGTATTCAGTTTGTAAGAATGATAGAAAAAAGAAATAAAGGTTTCGGCTTTACTCAGTATGATGTAATTCATTATCGTATAAGATAAATAATAGAAAAGTTGAGTAAACAGCTACAAATACTTAATCAAAACTTGTTTAAAGTAAAAGAAACAAAATAAGATTAAAAAAGATTAGAATTTGATAAAGTACAGAAACAAAAGGATCGTACAGTGGAATATGCAATATGATTTAAGGAAGCAATTAACATAAAAGTTTGAAATAATTATGCTCAAACAGATTTCGCACTAAAAAATTATTTTAACGAACGTTGACATAAGTGTTAAAATATAGGTTCGAGAAGATATAAAGAACAAAATATCTGCTTAGAGCAGATATGCTATCAGCAGAGGTTTTTACTCACTAGTGTGGGTCTGAACTTTCAGATTGACATAAGTCAGGCTTCAGTTTTCTTACTCTAGAATGGTCATATCTGTCTCTTAGTCACTACAATAAAGACATAAGAGTCCTGTTTCATTAGTGTTGCGTTCTTCACTGCTTATGTTCATAAGTTTTCTTTCTCTTGGTTGCTATCGAGGAACATAAAACTTCATACGACTACAGATTCTATTTACTAGTCATTCCATATAAGTCACGATCTATCACCATATCAGAACGCTTAGTGACACTCTTAGATTCTCAGGTCAAAAAATGAATGATCCTAGACGGTTGCATACTACAAGGATGTGGATGTAAGTGCGATATGTGTCGTTGTTTTGTTCATACTCACAACCTCTCTAACTGAGCAAAGAATAATTAGCGTACAATTTAATGTAAGATTTCGATTTTCATTCTCATCGAAAGGCACACAAAATAGGATGACCATAAAGCTACTCTCTAGAGCATAGTGTCTTCCTGAATATTAGGAGGGCAAATGATGGAAGCTTCATATCGACTTTGTAAACGCCTTGATAGAGAGAGACAGGAATAATCAGTAGTCTTTCAGAACCCCTAAAGTAGCATGTTAAGAAATATTGAAAGAAGATACTGTTGAACAAAAGTAACTGAACTCTGATGTGAAATTGTAAGAAAATTTTTTTTTCAACTTCGAAAAAACTTCGAATACATGTTTGTGTGTTTAGACTTAGAGTAGTAGTGGAGTGAATGTGAGTCCTTAATCAGAAGCAAACAAAAATGAAAATGGTCGATAGCACCATAGTAACAATAGGAGGAGAATTAAGGGCACAGAAACAATTACTTATTATACAAAATATTCGACAAGAACAGATACAACGAGACGTATTAGATTCGACTCATTCTCGTTTTCGAAAGAGATTTATGAACTTTGCAAACCTGCACTGTATTTCTTGCTAAGGAAGGACAAATGTGAGTTCCATATTTTAGGATATAATTGTGAACCTTCTTTTCACACGAATCTTCACATACTTACGAATGAATTCAGTACATCTATACAGAAGATGAGATACCCGTCTATTATAATCCTGGTTCTCGTTATTTTTCTAATTGTCCTCTATCTCTTGCATTCTTGATTTCTAGGATATGTGTCACTAGTATTACTCATAGTCATATAATATTATAGTCAACGAATTTAGATAATGTTCTGCACACAAACCGGGTACTTAGAGTCATTGTTGAATTTCAAATGTTTTTTTTTAATATTAGCTATATTATTTCGATATTGACATACTGAGCGATCATTATTTGATAATGTTTTTAAAGCAAGACTGAGTGCTTTCTGATAATATTTTAAAGCCATTTGGTAATGTGAAAAAAAAACACATAAGAATACTAATATTACCATGAACAGCATCAGTATCCTCACATTCTGATGATGTTGTGCTCACATTTCGTTTTATTTTTTATGACTGTTCAAAATAATTTAATGCTTTTTTTGTATTTTTTAGATAGAGCATAGACATCAGTCATATTATTATAAATTTTGGGAAATAATTCTTGTTTTTTATTTTTACTGAGTGTCTTTTTATGTTCGAATTTATTGTCGTAAACCGGTGAAATACGACAATAGGTCGATGAAGCTTCACCTTTTTGTTCTTTACAAATAGCTAATACTATCCTATAATTAACCAATAGTTTTAAATGATCATGCTTTGTTTGACATATTCGATCTATTATATTGTATATATCCACAACTATTGAGTAAATATTAGAGTAAAATTTCAAAGTATTCTGATATTTTTCATCACCATAAATTAGTCCTATCTGATAAAAAGATCCTCATTCAGGCTCTGTAATCGAGGCATATTTGAGTGCTTTTTGATAATAAATTAATGAGTTTTTATGATCTTGTTTATGATAATAAATAGAACCGATACTTATACATGTTGATGTTTAAATAGATCGATTCGAATTTCAGTTCTAGATTCAAAACTTCATTGAAATATATCGATGCTTTCTCGGTATCGCCTTGTTCAGTATAGACAAACTTCATATAGTGTTCAATGTTTCTTCAATTAAAGGATGATCAAAACGTAAGCATAGTTTTTGAATATCCAATGATCTCTCAAATTGAATAAGTACAATTGTTAAATTATGTTCATTATCGTAAACTTCTCCAACATAGTAATAAATCTTTGAGACATCTAAACTTAACTTCGATTCATCAAATTTTAACTCAAATTTTAAAGCGTTATTATAATATTTGGTTGCTGATCGTACCTTCGATTTATTGTAATAAACGGTCGCAATATTATAGTAAATAATTGCTAATAGTTTGTTTTTTGTAGTAGTCAATAATGCTAATGCAAGAGCTTTTCTAAAGTATTTTAACGCTGTTTTTATACTTTTTCTAATCTTTCAACAACATGCCAATATTACAGAATGATATAACTGCTTCTGTCTGTAATTTAGATGCGCGTTAGCGAGAGTGTCGATAGAACTGATTGATGTAAAGAACTTTTTTATTTTTTGCAAAACAGTCACTCTATATACAGACGAATCAGGAAAAGATTAAATTTAGTTGGAAGAAAATATGAACGAGAAGGAAAACTTCTTCACAACATCAATAAGAGATAAGCTTTTGGAAGATATCTAAAGATGAAGAAAAGGCAAGGAGCGAAGCAAAGAATACATATATATATATATATATTGTCAGTACGATATCAGAACAGATGAAAGAAATATCAACGACTTGAATAGAAGTGAATCGCACTATAACAACTACTCAGCTATTGTGCCTCGACTATCATGAATTTCTATTTCGGAACTTCAAAATATGAAATCAATCTCAGTTAACTTTTACTAAACAACAGACGGTGAGAAATGAATGGAGTTGATGAAAACAATAATCAAATTGCACTAAATCAACACAATCGCATACGACATCTGTTGAGAGTTGTCTCACGTCAATAACTAACTAAGGTGAAATATGGACTGTTAACTGGCGTTTGGTTGACTTCTAATAATTCAAATGTTGCATCAAAATAAAGCATGTGAGTCAATGCGTCGTGTCTTTTCTGTTTTGTTATGAAAATTGCACCTTGATGATGCAAATTTAAACGACTACTTGATATAAATAATTCGAAGAAACAGACAGCAATATAGTATACTGTTGATTGTCATGTATCCTGCTAGTTGTAATCGATTAGAATCTTTAAGCAACGAATTAATACTTGATATTTTTGAATATTTTGATGCATATAACTTGTATGAAGCTTTTTATGGATTGAATCATCGTATCAATAGTGTTCTTCAATCAGCTCGTTTACACATTCTTTATGATCCATCAAGTGAAAACAAAACAGGTTGGGATACACTTATATCCTCTGTCAATCCATCGCAAATTCGGATATTATCTTGTTATGTAGATATTAACATAGATAATCATTTTTTGTCTTCTGCTAAAGAAAATCTACGGTCGATTCGTTTACATAACACGAGTCGACAGTCAATGAATAAAATATTTCAACACTTTGCTGGTGATAATCAAATTAAACGCTTATCTATTACAGAACGTTCACGCTTTATAAAACGAAATGATCATTCTCTCTTTGATCTTATATTAGTCGATAATGCTTATCGTTTTACCTCACTTGTTAATCTTTCATTATCATGTAATCGTTATAGGAGTGTTTCCTCTGTTGGTTCAGTTCAATTTTTACAGCTTCGTCATCTATCGATTATTAACTGTTGTTGGTCAACAAATTTTCTTCAATTTCTTCAAAGTAATGTACCAAATCTCAAATCATTAAAATTTATTGGTTACTATAAGTTATTGAATCTACCATCGAATTTTGCGTTGAAACATGTTGACGAACTGCATATGAATCACTCCGGTGGTTTTGCCAGTCTGCAAAACATACTCTCTCTTTTTCCTTCTTTGCACCGACTCTATATAGATCAGGGAAACAGTCGACAATCTGCGATTATCAATGGTATTCAGTGGCAGAAGTTGATTGAAAATTATTTGCCTAATTTGAGACAATTAACTATTGATTTTGGTGATGGCATTGATGAATACATTGTAACAGCATTCTATACAGATGAATTTTGGTTAACGAAAAAAGTCAATGTGAAGATGATAGTAAATAAAATACAATCTCGATACCGCCTGGTCAAAACAATTTATTTTGGTCAACAATGGCAGTTTAGATACTTTGAAAACTTTGATTTGTAACATGTGTTATATTATGAACCAATGCTTTATAAGAAATTTATTTCCAAAAGAATTGCATGATGTTTTAATATATTTATTTTGCATCAGTGGATTTTCTCACTGTCAAAGTGGCAAATAGAAACTTTTGAAATTTTTTTCAAATTAAATTCATATATCCCTTGTAAGAAATGATGAGCTATTGATACTGTGTTTATGACTATGAGAAGTCTTTATAAAATAGATCAAGAAATATCCAAATAGTATATTATTGGCACCCAATGGTTCAGCATAGATACGAAGTCTATTGAATAATTTATGTATTCATGCAATAGTTTTATATTGCTTCAAGTAAAAGCTTCAAATATATTTTATTTTTTTTGAATTTCATAAATTAGCATTTTCAAAAGTTCTTCATTTATACAATGATTTCCTTCTAATTTAGTTACAAAATTTTATAAGATCCTTCTTGTCATATAAAAATTTGTTTCTGTGTTAAACGAGAATGCTTGTATGAATTCGCCTTGATTTCATGATGCTAAATAAGTATGATAAGTCAGTGTTTTGCAATTAAAAAAATATGAAGAACAATAAAATCGACATTCTTCAAGTTATTAACCAAAGCCACGCGAAATACCATATCAAGAACCACAATATATACAAGACAAACAGTGAGCAACAATCATAAATCTCATAAAACAAACAGATCGAAATTCAGCATTGACTTGACAAGAGACAGATAACAAACAAGGACGTGATTTCAATTTAGAGGCATCAGAAAAGAGTAAAACTAATGTTAAGCACTGTCTTCTATCTACAACTATCATCCGAGTATATCTGTTTTTAGCAACAACGTTAGCAATAAAGACGGAAAACAATGAATCTATCATTTTGATGTACTTTTTCAATTCAGATACATTGTACTCTCAACATTGTTCTCAGCATTTTGAATTAATAGCAAATAATACTTCGAATGTCGTGTATTACCGCTAATACAAATGGCGATACCATTTTCGTAGCCTTTTTAAATAAAAATATAAATACAAAAAGTTGAAAAAGTTCTTTCTCTTATTTATTAGATCGACGTTGAGAACGTTTGAAGTATTTTTCTCGGTCGATGGACATTGGCAATGTTCCGGAAGGTGACCATATCGATGGTAAATTGGTGGTACTCGTGTTGAAACTCCGATGATGATATTCTCTTCCGATTCTTAGCATCTTAAATAGAATCGAGTAATGATAAATACAGACAGACGATGGTTTTTATGCTACTTACATCAGTAAAAGCGTGACATTGTGGTCGAAAAATAGTTGGCATGGTGTGTACCGCAGGTCTGTAGCTACCATACTCTTGATTTGAGGTGCGATAAAGTGGTAACGGTGGAAATTTACTATAACCCTGCCATGCACCTGAAAAAAAACATACATTATTGATGGAATCGGACTGTTGGTACGTACCCGAATTCTCGAATCGAAATGAGATGCCAAAGGTTCGATATTCGTCACTGGTTGATCGTGTGCTTTTAATCGAGTTGTACGGTTTGAAAAATGCGCTGGCAATAAAGGATGGAACAGCCGGCGATTCAAAGAGTATTTCACCATTTGGCCCAATTTCGGTATATTTCGCAAGTGGACGATCAGTAAAGTACTGCATTAAAAAATCTTCTATGAGTAGGGGTAACAAAAACTATTTTGAAGCAGGTACAAGTTTATTGACAATCTATACTTTTTTAAGCGTACTTTGCTCTTTTTTAATAGCGTTAAATTGCAACGATGTTTTCTGCTTTCATTTTAAAACACAAGTTATCATTAATATTGTTCAGCATACCGAAAGAGTTTGCCGATCGGTTCATTGAGAAAAACAACAACCTACCTATATAGTTACGAGATCAACATCGTCTCTTGCTTTTTCTCTTTTTCTCTCCCTCTCTCTCTCGTTTATCCCCTTGTTCGCGAATAAGACTCGTCGTTAATAATGAATGTTGACAGACACGCACATTCTTTCAATACAAAACTTCTCTAATTAGTACTTAATAGATTTCTTTTAGTGAAAAACTACGATGATAAACATTTAATTGATTGACAAATTCAGCAAACTCTTTCAGCATTGACTTGAATCGGTGATCATGACCTATTGATGTGGTACCTAAATGATTGTTAGATGATTGAAATAAGCAACGTATCAGACTCCATTAAAGCATGGATCCTTATTCGACAGGTGTGATTATGAGAGAGATCTGAGTGTGGTTTCTCCATTACGTCTCTCATACCCTCATTCTTACCCACAGCTACATCGATATACTCAAAGCATACCCAGACCACAGCTACAATCACGCTCTATGTTTCCGCTGGCAATGGTCTATAATTTACGATAAATAAAAACTATTTTTAGTTGACTAAACTTCATCGTTTCTCACGTTGCTCAGAATAAAAGAATCCTATTGTGAAGAGTAGTATGAAAACTTTGACTGTGTGCCGAAAGTTTTTTTAATGGTTTTCATAATTGGTTCAAGTAATAAACTATGATATACTGTGAAAACACGCCGTAATTAGGCCGTCCAAAGTTAGATCACGATTTTTTTTTATATACAGACCTTGGTCATCATCATTATCAATTGTACTGAAGATTAGTCGGTGTGATTTGATAGCTACAAAGACAGAAATTGGATACAATCGATAAGTAGTGACTTAGCAACATATGAGCTTCTTTTGTACATCAATGCTTTTGTTCTAGTTGATATTTACATGTTTATATTGCTATATGTGCAGTGACAAGATAGAGCAATGATCATGCAATGAGCCTTGTCCCTAACCTTGTTCTAGACTCGATTCTTAAATGTTGACTAATTCGAATTCAAGCTTGATTTGACTCAGATAGTATCGGATTCGTCTATCTCTGATCGACCACTATTTACTCACGTATATCTACACCATTGTAAAGTGATGATTTCGCTTGATTATTGATCATTTTTAATGAACAAAACATTGCTACGAGTACCATACAATCGAGTTCATTCATGTGCTATATACATGTAACCATAAAGCCAGAAGAAGCATTCAAAATTAGCATAGAAAATGGATTGAAAACTTCGTACTACAGAATGTCGATTCGCTGGTAATCTGTATGATACGTAGACGGATAAAAGTAAAAAAGAAAAAGAAGTGATAGAGCCGACGTAATTAGAGGTTCGTGAGGAAAAATATTGTAATGGAATCATTGGTTGAGTTAATTGCACTTCGTTGCTTACTGTACTTTTTCTATCAATGAGACGCACTTGAGGACATGATTAGGCAATAAATGTCATAGTCAAGTAGTGTTGTCAATAAAGAACAGGCTTTATTCAGATGTCACAACGTTTAGTATTAATTAATCTTCGAATATATATGTGATGCGTTCAAACAGCAATTGTTTTGTAAAATGCACGAAAATTACTCGGAGCTTTGGCATTCATGAAGGAATATATATATATATGTCAAATACGCTTTCTTTTAGCCAAGCATTATACTTTGGTAATTTAGAACAATGACAATCGCCTTAACTACTGTCCTGACTGTATTGCTTGTCATCGCACATCCTGACGATGAAACTATTTTTAGCAGTTTCGTTCATGCCATCACACATAAACTCAATGCTTCTGTTGATCTAGTGTGTGTAACAAATGGCGAAGGTGGTTATAGACATGTGGAACCGTCTGAATCTCTCTATGACAATGTAAGATTATCAAACGAAACTATCGGCAGAAAGCATCTACTACGTATACGTCAACAAGAACTATTTGGTAGTGGACGAATATTGGGTACTAGAAAATATTTCTTTTATGATCAAATCGATTTGGAATACAATCGAGAAGTCAATACAGTCTTTGAAAAACAACGGGATAAAGAATGGGTCATTGAGCAATTCCAACGAACAATCAAGAATGGAAATGGTGCTGATGGCTATGATTTAATGGTTATTATAATTCCAAGTACGAACTCGCATGGTCATCATACAACGTCAGGTTTGCTTGCACTCGAAGCTATTGATCGTTTACAACGAATGAAGTCAGTTAACATATCCATACCAACAGTTATTGGTGAATCGGAATTCATTTTAACTAAATCGCCAACGTACGCTGAAAATGGACTAGCTGAAATATTAACAAACATAACGACATTCGAACTTCGTTTCAACTTGAAATGGAAAATGAGTAAATCGTCGTTTGTTGACTATAAAACGATTCGCTTTTGGGTCGCTGCAGAACATAAGTCTCAAGGCAGTCTCATGGATGAAATAATATTCGAATATGATCGTAATGAAGAACAATATTCTTATTTTGCTATCAATGAACGATACGGTGATCATGGACATCTTTCGATGACAAGAAATATATTCAGTCAACTTGCCAACATGCATCAAAGCGACAGCAAAAATTAGCTTCAGTAACAAGTTCAATAATTTAATACGAAAACTATGCTTTTATCTATGTCATACATTTATGATGCTACTCACAATAAAGAACATGCAATTTAGCGAAATATCTGTTTCACATATGATTTGTCTGTTGTATGGTCTATAATCTACGAGAATCAATTCGACAGACTAACTGGATTCGATTCCGATGGAGCCCTACACAAATTCATCAAGACCCTTTAGTAGTATTATCGAAAACTGTATTGTGGAACAAAATTTGGATCCCAGTGTTATGACTCAATAAGATCCTATAGTAGAATATCATTAGAACGTGATACAGTCCCATCAATACTAACCAGAGCGTAAAAAAATGAGGCTATACTATCGCTTATCTCACCAGGAGCCTATTTTCTTACAGTTAAATCTTCTCAAAAGTTATTCTACAAAAATTAACTATAAGATCAGCTAATATACACCTGCAAAGGTTCGTATCTATGTAAGTAGTTACTCCTTACTTGTTTATGCGCAAATGACTTAATGACTGAACTGACACTTCTATAGATATATAAATATATACACGCCGACACATATTTCATTAATGAACGCCTATCTAATTTACTTACGTACATCTCATCTGCTCACACAAAGCTCCTATGAAGTTCCGAAAAATACAGCAAAGACATTTAACAGTGCCAAAAAAACAGAACAATAGATTCCGGAAGTGATCAGATACAGAACAAAGGTCATAGAAAGTCACAATAATACAGAGTAAAGACTTCAGAAACTTGACGAAATTGTTAACGAACGAAGAAGCCCGGTGTAATAGAAGAAACTCCTGCAAGAGTACTGATACTGCATGCTTCAAATGTGCTTTTTTGCATGACTTTGGATTACTTCTTGTTTTAAAATATCTAGAGATCGAAGACCAATATGCAACTGTTACGAGAGAGTCTTGTTCAAGCGAAGTAAGCTGAAACTGGCTGATTACCCAGATTTAGTCATCTTGTATTAGATGATAATGCGGCAGTACTGTAGTTCCTAAAATAAACTAAAGATTATGATTTTCATGTCAGCATGATTGTAAAAAGTAGCCATCTATAGTCATATCCTAAGCGAGAAATAGATGACTGTTATCAGCTGAAAAACAAAGAAAACCTATCAAACCGGTGAGCTCAGATAAAAAACATCAAACTCACCAACTATCTATTAAATTCACAAAAAGAATGCATTCAGCATTGCCGATAAGTTTTATGGAAGAAGTGTACATATTTGCTGACCATAAGCAGGAGACCGTGAAATTTTCAACAACTTTATCGGGTGACAACTGGATTATTCTCGATTCCGATTGGGTTTTTTGTTTTCGATGATTTCGCATGATTTTTTTTCTCGATATTGTTTGTGTCTAAACCGTTTTAAATAGTTTCCAACGATAACAATCATTCAAAATAAAGTGCAGTGTAGAAGCACCTATTGGTCTTCCTGAGATGAAAAATAGGAACTAAGAGCGGCCATTTTCGTGTGTTTAGCTCAAAGATGTAATTCTACACTTGCATTAATGATGTTATATTCAGCTCGTACTTATCCAGACATAGTTGTTGTTGATGAGTTCAATAATGGCAGTCGGCTAAATATTGGTGTTACTAGTGCAGACAGTAGCAGTGAAGACGTCTTTCATGGATATGATAATGAAAGTTTTGCAGTCAAAATCAGTTCTTCTGCTAGCTCTCTCTTCTTCATATTCGATCATTGTTCCTGATTTCAACTACAACAGTAGACTGGATATTGTTGTAGCTAATGCTAGCGGTAAAAATGAGAGCATTTTTCTTGAGAAGAGTCATGGAATATTTGCAGCATCAATGCCTTTTCCAGCTGACTCTTATTCATACTAGGTCGCAATTGGTGATTTTAACAATAATAATCGAGTCAGGTTCAGATAGATGTAATCATACTATATCATATGGCAGCTTTAATGATGTCTTTAGACTCAGTTCTCCATGGAAAATCCGCAAAAAACAGATTTAGAATTCGAAAGAAATGAAAAACAATGAATAAAATTGACCGATTTACTATATCTAAGTGCATTCATGAAAATAGACTAGTGTAGATTATCTGTAAAAAGTATATGTTTTTATTGCGAAATTCATTGCGAAACAATCGAAAGGTATATTCATGATTAGCTCATCAACCTCTATCGAAAAATGTATGTATAAAGGATACAAATCAGTTTAGTTTCGCACGGGGGGCAGTCTATACGAAGAGAATCTCATTTTTCTTTTCATTAATGAAAATGTGATATTACCCCATCATACAGATAGTAACATTTTACGCTGTTTCCCCTCTAATCAAATTCAACTTGATAGGATTTATTAAAAAAAATTAATATTCGAACGTTTTTTGATAATATGTAAGCACTAGAACCCACAAAATGATCGGGCAACAAAAAAAAAGATTTTCTTTAAAAGCAGAAGATGACCGTTAGTAATTGCTTTATTTTCAGGAAGCCGTATATAGAAAAGTCTAATCGAAAAAGCGAAGAAAAAAGTTTCAAATAGTAAGCATTAAGCACACATATTCAAAAGGATGTATGCAGGAGTTTTTACATCACTGGCAACAATTATATTTTATCGATTGTCGTTGTTGAAATCACCAAAAGATAGCGACATTGGACCAGAACTGTAAGCAATACCATACGTCTCGAGATTTCTGAAAGGGTGTGTGGAAGAAGATCATCTAAACACGACCACACCCACCATGAAAAATTCCTGTGTGATTAAAACTCAACGAAAAGAAGAATTTTCTTTAGAGACTATACTAATTTATTGATTCTGTACTCATAAGCAAAGTATTAGTTTCATGGTGTAAAATCATTTGTGAAACCTTCTGTAGCTGCTCTTAGAAAATGCAACAAGTAGTTGCTATTGTAGTTTAAAGACAGCAATTTTTTTCTGAGTATTTTTTTATCTACCTAGCAAGATAACAGTTGATAAGGAAAAAATTTTCTCAAGAAGAGTGGTCGGATACTTATAGATTTACTCTAAGATAAAAATCAAAATTAATTAGTTTGTTCCATATATATATATGTAATCATGTGACGATCAACTATTGATTATTTCTATAAAAAGTATATGTTGAAAACTCAGTAGAGTAAAACTTTTTTTTTTGTGTTAAAATATGTATTTATATCTTAACATCAATGTTATTCTCTAGTCTTATTTGTTCAAAATTAGAAAGTCAAGATACATAATAAAATAAGCTTTTCTTTTATAAATAGAAAAAAAAATGAAAATTTTTCATTTTTTAGGTAATATGCCGCTACTAAAAATATGTGGCGCAGTAATGTAAACTAAATAAAGAGATAATAAGATCAAAAGAAATTACTTTATCTCGTGTTAGATAGGAATAAATGTTAATTAATGATGGGCACGATATATGCTGTATGCATTCTGATTTCCATGATTTCATCCCCGCAAATCTGCTCGCCTTAATTTTCATATTATACAACAAGAAATTATATCAGAATCATATCAAATTCATGTATAATTTTCATCATCGAAACAATGAAATGAAAATGAACACTTGCAAGAATTGTTTTAATATATTATATTTGAAAACCAAAAAAAAAAACAGAACAATATCTTGAAGTTACAATTGTACATGTGTAGTAAAATTTCACTGACAAAAACATGTAAACCATATTAATATCTTTAATACTTTAATGATTCAATGCTATTATTCAATTATAAAAATTCTTAACTTCAATTTAGAACGATATTTATGGAAATAATATATCTATTTTATTTTTTCCTTTTGTCTTATATAATCAACATCTATAACAAAGTGTTGACTTATTTCTACTAAACAAACATATATCAATTCATAGCTTATCACACACTCCAAAGAAAAAAAAACGACTGAGTTAAATTTTAGTATCTAAATTAAATAATGTATCTTATTATGTTGTTGGATAATTACGTGAACGCATTGATGAAAATGAATGTTGATTATCATTCTAAATTGGAGAACAAAATTTTAAATAATTAGAATTTTTTTTAAACATCTAACTAAAAAATTGTTACTTCATGATGTGATGATAAATTTGATTTTGATTGTTGATTATCACGTAAACGCATATTATCATCTCTTAAATCACTAATACGATTTTGTAAATGTCGAATAAGTGAATCTTGATTTACTTCATCAACTTTATTTGAAGGTATTGGTTCAAATTTTACCTTAAGAAAGAGAAAAATAACAAAAAAAAATTTCTTGAATAAAATATGAAGAAAAAACCTTTTTAGGAGGTTCCACATGATATGATGTCATTCGTTCATCATGATGATTTGAATTATTTAATGTAATTCGTTGTTTAGTCAAACTAAAAAATTTTCATCATTTATTTATTTATTAATCTATAAACAAACCGATCAAGTTCAGTGGCAATATGATCTTCAAGCTTTTGTACAAGATTATCAATAGTATCATTTTGTTGAGATGATAAATGAAATGGATTATACGAACTATTATGAGAACGATTTTCACATGTTTGTGATAGACGATCACTTTCCTAATTTCAAATGAAATGAATAAGAATGATAACAAAAATTTTTTTTTGAACTTATTTTTACTTTTCTATGTTTTGAAAGTGAACTTCTTGTTGTTGATTGTTGTTGACGATTATCATCATATGTACGATTTGAATAATCTGTCGTCTAAAAACATTTTTTTTTTATTTTTCATTAAAATAAAACGAAATAAATTAAAAATTTATTTACACGATCTGTTAATACTTTTGATTTTTTTAAAAATTTTGTTTTTGTTTCAATTTGTACTCTTTGTTCAATAATATAATTACGAATATCATCAACTGTATCTTGAAGTAATTTCTATTTATAGAATAAAAATATCTCTCTAAAACATGTGATTAATAGTCGTATTAAATAACATACAAGTACACTTCGAGTTGGTAATCGTTCAACAATCGATTCACGATCATATGTAAATGATGAAATATGTCTTCACAAGCA